CAGTTTAAAAATCAAATGCACTTTGAAATGCTACCACACTGAAAAAAGAACGTAGAGTTAATTTAGCTAGTGTGCCTCGTAAATCGTCGTGATTTAGTAATCATTCTGTTTACTGTCTTACCTATTAAAAGTTGCTTGTAAATTCAAGATTTACTAATGTTATTTAATAAATCTACCTAATACCTAGTTAAGATATGTCACTCGTCAGCTGTTTAGAAAAGTTCACGCAGAACCCCTTACTTAAAATCTATGTATTATAATTCATTTTTATAACATATATTTAAATTCAACAATGCTATTTTTTCAACATTCAATGAAAAAAAAATGCTTAAACCCCACAAAGAAGCAAGGTTTATGGGGGACTATTTCTTGTGGTGGAAGGGTATTTAGCAGAAAATTCTGCAATTCTGTACATTTATCAAATTTAATATCTTGGAACTTTAGCCTCACATACTTTTACTCGGAGAATATTTTCCGTTTTTAGCTCACCTGAGCCAAAGGCTCAAGTGAGCTTTTCTGATCACATTTTGTCCGTCGTCCGTCCGTCTGTCTGTCTAGCTGTCCGTCCGTCTGTAAACTTTTCACATTTTCAACTTCTTCTCAAGAACCACTGGGTTAATTTTGACCAAACTTGGTACAAAGCATCCTTGGGTGAAGGGAAATTTAAATTGTAAAAATGAAGGGCCAAGTCCCCTTACAAGGGGAGATAATCAAGAAAAGACAAAAATAGGGTGGGGCCATTAAAAAATCTTCTCAAGAACCACTGGGCCAATAAGGCTGAAACTTATGTGGAGGCACCCTGGGATAGTGTAGATTCTAAATTGTTCAAATCATGACCCCCGGGGGTTGGGCGGGGCCACAATGGGGAATCAAAGTTTTACATAGAAATATATAGGAAAAATCTTTAAAAATCTTCTTCTCAAGAACCACTGGGCCAGAAAAGCTGAAACTCATGTGGAAGCATTGTGGGGTAGTGTAGATTCTAAATTGTTCAATTCATGCCCCCGGGGAAGGGCGGGGCCACAATGATGAATCAAAGTTTTACATAGAAATTTATAGGAAAAATCTTTGAAAATCTTCTTCTCAAGAACCACTGGACCAATAAGGCTGAAACTGATGTGGAAGCACCCTGGTGTAGTGTAAGTTCTAAATTGTTCAAATCATGACCCCCGGGGGTAGGGCGGGGCCACAATGGGGCATCAATGTTTTACATAGAAATATATAGGAAAAATCTTTGAAAATCTTCTTCTCAAGAACAACTGGGCCAGAAAAGCTGAAACTGATGTGGAAGCACCCTGGGGTACTGTAGATTCTAAATTGTTCTAATCATGACCCCCGACGGTATGGCGGGGCCACAATGGGGAATCAAAGTTTTACATAGAAATATATAGGAAAAATCTTTGAAAATCTTCTTCTCAAGAACCACTGGGCCAATAAGGCTGAAACTTATGTGGAAGCACCCTGGGGTAGTGTAGGTTCTAAATTGTTCAAATCATGACCCCAGAGAGTAGGGGGGGGGGGGCACAATGGGGAATAAAATTTTTACATAGATATATATAGGAAAAATCTTTGAAAATCTTCTTCTCAAGTACCACTGGGCCAGAAAAGCTGAAACTGATGTGGATGCACCCTGGGGTAGTAAATCATGACCCCAGGGGGTAGGGCAGGGCCACAATATGTATTACAAGGGGGAAATCTGGTAAAGAACAATATGACAAAAGATTCTCAGGTGAGCGATGTGGCCCATGGGCCTCTTGTTTATGCTAGGAATATTTAATGTAGGTCTCAATTCATATTTTTTTAGAACCAACTTTACAACTTCCCTCAACACATTTTGTCGAGAAATGAAGATATGTTACAGATCTCAAGATAAATTTTTCACTGTTTTTTGTCTGAAAATCACATATTTTGATCAATATTTCCAAATCAACATCACTGGCCCCAACTTTTTCTTTCATTATTTTAAACTACTCGATACTTGTGACTGATCACCACAGAATTCGTTAAAAGTTTGATACAAGAAAATATTTTAATGCCTATTTAGATTTTTAATACCCCCAAATATGTTCCTTTTTCAGTGCAAAAGGTCACAATAATTTTCACGAATTGATTTGCAAGATTTATCTAATGATAAATATTATTCAAAATATTTTACTTGAAATAAGATTATATTTATTGCTACGGTTCCATCTGGTAAAATATGATAAAAGTTAAAATAATAAACCAAAGAGTTCAAATTTAAATGCAAATAGGTCAACTTAATTGTACCGTAGCTCAGTAAGGTGCAACTGACCTCCTATTTTCTCTGCGATTTTTAGTCATACTTTATTAGCACTTATCCAAATTATACTTCTCAAAAAATCCTAGATAACAAATTTCACGAGTGATGTACCTTAAAACAACCACTTGTAAAGTAGAGATTGTATTGACAGTAATTTACCTGTCTTCTTAGCGACTTTTACTAGTAATTTTTTTCAGTGCAGCAGCTGAAAGTGAGCGCGTACATTACCAGCGAAGACAGAAATAGAAACAGTTTAATTTGTGATATTTGGATAAATATTTCAATTTATAATTTACTAATATGATTTTAAATCAAATGAATTTATAATTTATTAATAATATTTTCTGTATTAAAAAATCAGATATAGATTTATAAATAATACTCCTGACTAGGTGTATGTATCAGAAACGAAAATGAATTATCTTTTCAGACTCTCAGCAGCGGCAACAACAGGAATTATACTTACATGTATAGTAGTCTTAGTTGCCCCTTTCATATGTTTCTTGATTGCATTCGTCTACGTAAAACGAAAGATGATAAAAGAGAACAATTCCTGTGAACAAGGTAAATCTATCTTTGTACAGTTATTTTTTCGTTGCTTTTGCAATTTTTAAAATGTTATAAAGTCAGTAAATCTTTAAGTTGCAGTTCCCTACCCTAATGTTTACAAATAATCTAAGATGATTTTCATAATGAAATTTTTTAATCTAAAAACCAAAATAGGGACAGTATGCTACCATGTTGCTGTTTCAAATGATAATGTTACAAACATGAAATTGATATTTTATCACAGAACATAAAAAAACAGAGACTACAATTGTGAATCATGAACATGTAATCAGTCTTAATTTTACTTTTTTCTATAGTAATTTCCGCTATTCCATTCTGTTGCCAGAGTTTATATGAAGGTACTCTCATGGACATACATTGTATCATTGAAAATAAATTCCATATAACCTTAACTTTAAAGATTTTAAAAAAAATATATAAATATACCGTAAATTTACATGAATATTTACATTTTTATCTATTCAAAGAAGAACAATGTAAGTGCTGATATATTCTATAGAAATGTTTTTAAAAATATGTACAAATATATATAACAGTAATAAAGATATTTTAAAATAATGTAAAAGTTGAAGCTTGAATGCATATTTAAGGATAACATTTTCAAACAATCAATACGTATTGTAATACAAGCATATGGTGGACTATTTTACTTAATTCATTTACCTTTCTGTTTCAGGAAGTATTATGTTAAGAATACAAGACTGTAAGTATTTATCTAAACTTAACTAAAGAATTGAAATTATCTTAAAATGTACATGTATATGTATCCATATTGAAAATGTGTTTCAGCAAAGTAGTTATATTGTCGTATCATTTATAAATAGCAAGAGTTATATTACCAACATGCCCTAAATGCTACTATTCATAAGGAGTTATGTGGCACAGTATTTATTGAGTATAATATTTGTCTTTAAAAAAAAGAATATTCAGGATTTTCATTAATGAGAACTTTCCTCTAAATAATAAATTCACAAATGAAACATGGTTTTATATTATACATGCACAGGAATTACGCTACAGACATCTGCACGCCTTGTTCTTCCACATACTTATATATTGTATCTATTTGTCGTTTATACACATGTCACTATGATAAAATATTTACTTACTTACTTTCATTATTAAATTAATTTTCATGTAGTTATTAATATTAAATATTGGCTATCAATCAATATCAGCTGGTTCACTTTTTAAACCTAAAATGAATAATAATAGTAACAAATACATTAGCAGATAATGTTCACAATAGCAGGGTTTTGTGATATTGTTCCTTATTACAAACCCTAGACTAAAGTGGATACTTTTAAGTTGGGCTTCTACTTACCCAGTTTGATCTTTCAAATCCATTGTTTTAAAGTCTCAAAGCGTGATTGAGAAGAAGGATCTTCCAAAAAATATTCTCCATTAATTTATTTGAGTCAATTAAATAATCACACATCCTTTGATATTGACACAATTTCCATTTTAAAGACGACTCATTATTTTTATCTTCTAGGGGGGTAAAATGAATATGTAACTTTCTAAACCGTCTCTCAAATAGTTACTTTTGTCAGAGGGGATGTGAAAATGGACAATACTTTAAAACCTTGAACTTTTGAAGATGTGTTCAGATAAGTTAAAAATGCAAGTACACTGTATAAATTTGTATAAAAAATAATAAAAATTGTACATTTCAGTTATGGACAAACGGTATTATAGAGGGGGTATGTAAAAATATATGTTCATTTGTAAATTGAAAGTTTAATTTTGCAAGCAGTCGTTGAATCTATGTGCTGTTTTGTTCTAGTAAAAGTGGAATTTTTTAGAGTTCTACTCGTTTGAATATTTACATTCTTATCAAAACATGTAATTCCTTTTTATGGGAAATTTAACTATTCTTGAAAATTTTATTAATATTCAAGTCATGCAGGTTAGAAAGGAATGTATATCATGATCAGGCAATTCATTTGTTTCGATCCGATGATTATCTTTTTGAAAAGAATCATAAAAGAATCATGATAAAATGATATAAATAAAATGTTTATTTAAAAAGGAGATTGTTTAACATTTCTAATAATTTTCAATATCTCTTCAGTTGAAGTTTGTGATCATGGTAGTCAAGCAGTTACGCCAGATGCAACGTCATCAGACCCATTACTTTCGAATCAAG